CGGCCGGGGCTCGGCTGCCGGGGAGGTGGGGCCTGGGGAGCAGGGGCAGGGGAGGAAGGTAAGAGGAGCCAGCCCTCCGTGGATTTATCGAACGCTTCGTGTGCGTTGCTGCCCGGGAGCAGCAGCCCAGTTGCTCGTTCATCTGGAGAGTTGGGATTTGGGTGTTCCGGCCCCACAGATCGGTGCCCTCTCACCCCCACCCCTCGCCGAATGCGCGGCGAGTAGAGAAAGTGCTGTTTTAGTGCCAGAGTAGCCTGGAGGAAGAATAGGGGAGAGGGGGAAGAGGGCGAGGGAGAAGGGGAGAGAAGAGGGAGGGAAGGGGGGGGAGAGGCAGAGAGGGAGAACGGGAGGGAACAGAGGAGGGGGAAGAGGAGGAGGGAGGCTGTGTCAGGATTTTGCTTGAATGTGGGATTATGTTGTGTCAATAAGTTTAAGGTGGAGAGAGCGAGGCTGGGGGGTGGCGGTGGAGGGGAGGAGGAAGGCCTTGGCCGTTTAAAGTCTTATTTCTGAAGGTAAGTTATGGCAGTGCATGGTCGCGATGACAGAAAACTTGCAGATCCTTTATCCGGGGATGGGGTCGACGCCTCTAGAAAGAGCTCCCCAGCCCTCTGAAGCCACACTCGTGTTACACTGTTATTTGCTGCGATCCGGGTCGCTTGTAAATTACAGAAATCAGACTCGAGGTTTCTTTTCCTCCCCCACCTCGTCTTGCTCACTCACCCTCAGAAATGTATCATTATTTTTGATTTTTGGGGGGTATTGTATGAAACTTAACGTAACTGAGATCGATTCCGAGTCCTGTAATTTACAGGGACCCCGAATCCAGAATCTGGAACACGTTTCTGTGTGAAATATCTGCGATCATTTCTGCTAAATGAGGAAGGTAAAACGAAACGATGCAAAAAGCTAAGACACAACATGTACGACAGAGGGGGGGGAGAGGGAGAGACAGAGAGACAAGCTATTTTTTGCTTTCCTTTCTGTAGAAGGGAAAATAAAGCTTGCATTCCCCTTCCTTCCCTGTGTGTAGGGTCTAGTCCATATTTTAACTGTCTGAGGACGAATTAGTCCAGGTGGATCTTGTTGAAAAGTTTCGCGAGGTGGGGTGGAGGTGGGGGGGGCGGAGGGGAAGGTGGGTGGAGGTTGTGGGGGATGGGGACCGAGCAAGCTCTGCCTCAGCTAATGGTCATTGGCCTGGGGCTTTGAAACCATTGCCTGTCCTGCTAATGACACGTCCAGTTCTCGTCTCCCCGCCGCGGACGCCAGGCTGCGGTTCCCGGGGCTGGCTGACCCGGACCCGGGTACTTTCCCCGCGCGGGGAGGGGCGTTCTCCGCCATCCCTAGGGGTTGCCCACTCGCGGCGTGGGGGCTCCCACGCGCGCTCCCCCCCCTGCGCGCAACGCGGGGCTGGCCGGGCGGCGGCAGTGCCTCCCCGGGGGGCAGCGGAGGCTGAGGCAGTGGCGACGGGATCTTGCCGGGCCCGCGGGAGGAGGAGGAGGAGGAGAGGGAGAAGGAGGAGGGGAAGGAGGAGGAAGAGGAGGAGAGAGAGGCGTTTTCTGCCCAGACCGCCGCCAGTTCGAGCGGGCATGGGCACGGGGACACCCCACTCGTTGCTCCTCCGATATGGAAAGGTGTTTAGCAGACTTTTACGCCCGGAGTGTGCAATTTGCACTTCATTTTTTTTCTCCCCCCTCTTCTCCAAAGCAAGATGGACTCTATTCCTTTTCTCTTTCTCCCTCTGCCTCTGTCTTGTCAGCCTTTAAGATCGACATTTTGTACTAAGATGCAAACTTGATGGTGACCAGCAACAAAGCCGGGGTGGGATCTCTCGCTCCTTCCTCTCTCTCCGTTTCCTAGCTTCCCCCACCCCGACCTCGCAGACCTGGTGGCCCTGCACTTGCCGCCTTGGGCTCTGGCGAATGTGTTTTTCCCGGTCGTTTCCGATTTCCAATCTCGGGATTGTGACCCGAGCCAGCGTTTGGCGAGCGTTTGGCGTTCTGGAGAGGCTGTGGCCACCTAGGTCTGCAGGGCGGAAGGCTTCGATACCTGGACCCCCGGCCGCCACGGAGGCACCTCCCGCTGGCTCCTGGGCACTGCGCGGCTGGGCTGCCTATCGATCGCTATGATTTGGTTACTGGGGTATTTGTTCTGGGGGCGGTGATCACTTGTGCAAGTTGATGAACGATCGCGGTGTGGGGTTTGCGTGTGCAGAATGGATCAACTTTCTGTTTTGTACGTACTGGGGGTAGGAAGCCCAGGTGCTGGAGACATTCTGGAATGTCGGTAGAGCTGGCCCCCAGCATCTGCCCTTTGAATACTGGGAGCTGTCTTTGCCTTTCTTGCCCCCACAGAACTGGGGGCGTGGAGAAAGGGGAGGGGTTGGTGGAGAGCTGGACTTCTGGGTTTCAGCGTCCTTCCTTCCTTCCCTCGCAGATGTTACAGGACTTGGGACTCCACTGTTGTAAAGCCCATACTGATGATGTACCTGTATTTGATACTTTATAGGTCACTATCATATGACAAAGGCTTTGCCGCAGTTCGTCTTCCTCACTGTGTACTTTCCATTTGCCTTCCAAGGTAAGTATGCAAACTCTTCATACAGGGAAGCTAGCTGGTGATGAGTAATGGCATAGGGTCCTCATTATTATTGTAGGAAGGTGCTTTATTGGGGCTACAATTCCCCAGAAAGCTTGTCTCACTGAGCTTCCCGCAACAAAAGCCATTTTTAAGGTTCTTAGTATTTATAATTCAGCTTCAGATTACGAGTATTAGAAGAGAGTTTAAATGTTTGTTTCACATTTATCTACAAGGAAGATGTCTGAAAACTTATTTTCAAATAGGCATTTTAATTGGTGATGAAATTTTACACACTTGAAGCCTAGAAAATGTAATGTTAGACAATATATAGAAAGATTGTAGTGGAGAGAATGATTAAAAACCCAAGGAAGCATTGTGCAGAAGGCCTCTAATTATGACCAACATTTGCTTACTTTCTCCCATGGTCTCTTTCTTAAGTAACCTGTGTTTGTGACAGTTACTTTTGGGTTGGAGATGGGTGGATTGGCAAGGTAGTAAATCCAGCATTAAGTGCACTCGCTTGATTTAACATTGATTTTACTTTTCTTCAGAATTTATATATTTGGAGAGATTTGGAGGATTTTAGTAGTATGTGTATACCGTCAACAGCAACGTAGAGATCTGTTAAGTACCTTTTTTAGATACATGCCTCACAAATGGAAAAATGTGTGGAATACGTGCAGGACAGAATGGGTGTGGAAAGTGCACTTGTGACAGGTAATGGTGTAAGCAAAAATTTAGGGTTCACAGAACACTGGAAAGCAGGATGCTGAGCCCAAACTGTGGAAAACTGCCTTGGAAGTTTGCCCCTCCACTGTAAAGAAACATCCCCAGGTACTCTGGAGTTGCCAGTGTGTTAAAAAAAAACTAGTTATACTAAATTGCGTAAATCAGCGGTGGCACTTTGCAGTGTTACCATAATGATTTGGAGATTATGTTTTTTTTTTTTTTTTTTTTTTTATTTTTTTTTTTTTTTTTTTTTTTTGAGAGGTTTTTGCTATAGGGCGCGGGTGCTCGCCAGACAGACAGAGAGAGAGACATAGAGACAGAAAGCGAGAAATCATCCTGCAGGGGAGATGGTCTTATGCTGCAGTCCCCCCTCCTCCGTTCTCCTCTCGGGATCTTGGGCATGCACACACACGTGCCTGGTGTGACTTTTAAGCCTCCGGGTCCGGGACGTGAACTACATGGGAGTCCAGCGACATAGCCATTACGCTAACTGCTGGTTCCCGAGATTATGTTTTGTGAATGACAATGGATTTCAACTCGGTTTTCCATGAAAGAAAGTTCACGGACCTTGTCTGGTTTTCTATCTTGCTGGATTATTGTGTACATTAACAGAATGTTGTCTTGGTAATGAGAGGAATTGAGTCTGAAGACCAGGCCTTTCTGGTAGTCTCTGTCCAGTAACAAAATATATTTGAGTATACTGAGGACTTTAGATGCACTGTATAATACAAGAGATTTTTCAGAAAGTTCATAGAAAATATATATTATGAAGAAGCCATGCATGGATTTCAATTTTATTTTTTGTACCAAAGCTCATACTTTAATTCTACTTTCCATGTCCAGCATATTTTAAGGAATATAAATATTGCATAATTAAGGCGTTCATTCATTTGGAGATCTCAGAATATGTTACACCTATTACAGGCCAATCAGAGTGGTGGCAGTGAGGTAGTTGTGTAAAATAAATTTAGTACACACCAAAATATGAGGATTTCAGTGTCTGATATTTAAACAATTTGTTTGGAAGAGGTTTTTTTTTTTTTTGAGCATAGCAAGAACATCCAAAATGCATTCTTGATTACTAAAGAACATTGCATTTATGCGTGTGCATCACATCATTTTGTTCACTGTAGGAAACTTTAATGTTACTTCTTTCCACACAGAAATATATTTGGCCAATTCAAAAATTAATATGGGAATCAGTAATTTCCAGAGTAAAAGTAATCTGCTAAGAAATGAACATTTTTTTTGAGATATCAGGTGACTGCCTCACTTGTACAATCTTTTCCAAGAAGTGTTGATCTTTGAAGTCAGTGAAATAGTTTTCGTAGTGTAAAACTTGTAATAGTGATGTAAAAAAGTCACTTTGACAATGGATTAACAGTTACTTGCAACTAAACTATATCTATTAGATGTGAAGCTTACTTATCAAAATAAGAATTTGAAGAAGTTTTTGCTTCACCACTCCCAAAAGTTTACAAACTTCCCATTTTATTGTTCTGCATATCTCTATTAAGTTCTGAAACGGAAGCCTTAATTTGCATGTCACGTCTATGCTAGCCATTGAAAAGGTGGCTCATCTGTGGTGTTTCTTAGTATGATATTCTCAGAGGTCCCATGGTGGTTTTAAGAAGAGCCTCTCACCAATGACCTAGACATATAAAAACATGTGCAGTTTTAAGACTTTTTTTTTAAATCCATCTTCATCTTTGTATCCAAACTTAAAGATAATAAAATAAATAAAAACTTCCAGGTTTGCATTTGTGAGCTAGCCCTGCTTTTAACAGAGTTTGAGAAGTTTTTATATGGTACTTTTGACCTTCAGTAACTGAATCTGATTTATACTTAATCCATTGAAACAGAAGATTTGTTTAAGACATCGAATTTAAGATACAGCTTTGAATGAAAGCTAGGATGTACATATAATTATGGTTGGTCAGTGCTGTAAGTAGTTGTAATTGATAAGATTTTTTTATACATAGTAAAAAAAAAAAAAAAAAGAAGAAACAAAGGCCTGAAAATAATGTGGCACAACTCAAGAAAATCTAACTTAGAGGCTACAGTATTTATAAAGTCATATTTCAGTAAGTTACAATCTCTTATTATTAGTCATTGTCTAGCATACTTAGAGTATACATTTTCCTGTTTTATACTGTTGGTAAAAGCTGGGGCCAGTTTTTGACTGGGTTTTGCCATGAATATCAAGTACTTTGTATATATTAGAAGTCTTTAATAGAAATAATAAAGGTTTCATAGCTCAATCCTATTGCAAAAAAGAAAAACTTTGAAAATAGTCTCATTACAGATGTGCCTATTTTATTGTACTCAAGGAAATCCCTTAAAATATTATTAGTGTCTTATACAAGTATAGAAAATGTTTAAAGTAGTGATATTTAAGTGCACTGAAAATTACTAAATTCAGGCAGTTAATTCGATGGTGATGCTGCTTCACCATCAGTGTAGCAGACCTGTATTCAAGATTTAAATTTAAGCAGGTAGTTAACTTTTAGAAGAAGATAACTTTTTCTTGAGCCTGTGCTTTGAAGAAGTTCACTTTACTTTTTAACATTTCACCACTGAGGGCACCTTTTAAAATAGGTCTGAGTGGTATCTCTCCTGTATTTTTAGTTAGATTCCTTCTTCTCACTGTGAAATGAAAACAAAGCCCAGCTTCAGCAAAAACATTGTAATTTCACTGCTCCCTTTTTTATCATGTGCCCCAGGTAAATCAGAAGCAGGCAGTCCTCAGGCCACACTTTGAGAAACACTGCTCCAAAGGTAGTAAGGACCAGAACTTAAGTCTGAATGCAGGTTCTTCCATTTTGAAGATTCTGTGACTGTAATTCAATCAGTGGGTTTGTACTGCCTCAAGGGCAGTCACATACTGTGTCCAATTGTAGATATTTCTGTATTTTAAGTCATACCCGAGGAAAGCACTTTCTGATTACAACTTCACTCAACATTCATATGAGCTCATATCATCCTTTAGAAGGCAATTACGGTTTCTTGAAATGCCAGTACATCATTTTAAAACTGTAGAGTTATGCCCAGAAAAATCCTCATGTATTAATGGGGATTGTTTTCATTTTTTTTCTTTCAAAGAAAAGGATAAGGTAAGAATGGAAATAAGTACCAATTACACGAGGGAATGCAACAGAAGGCAAACCAATAAGCCAATAATTAATTCTATCTAAAAAAATAAAGATGAGAAAATGAAGGAATGAATGAGTTAAAGGATTAAATATAGACCACAAATCATTGACACACCTACCAAAATATAAATCTAGTAAGTTAAAATATGTCAGTCAGTTCAAGAATCTAGGTAGTGAAATAATTTAAAATAGTGAGTGGATTTTATAAAATATGAAGTAAAAATTAGTAAGAGTGAGTTGGATTTTATGAAATCTTAGAAAAATAAAAATATTATAAAATGACAATTAAATAATTACAACAATAGTTAAACATGGCCCTTGGATGAAAACATGAGTAAAACAGAAGCTCCTGGAATGGAATGAACCGAAACCCTAAAAATGATGTGCAAGGATGTTTTTTGTAAAAAGAACAATTACATAAAACACGGATAACTTATTTCCTAGAGAAATAAGAATGAGAATGAAAATTGTTTAAAACACTTGTATTTCTCAAATAGCTTAAACTGAGATATATGGTTAAAGAAAGAAACTAACAACTTTTATATCTTAGTCCATAGAAAAGAACTGAAACAAAAGTTTCCTGAAACAAATAAAGTGTAGTCCTTTCTGATATTTTCTATCCCTACCTAATCTTTATAAATCTTATCTTTTCCGGGACCAGCAGATGGTGCAATGGTTGCGTTGCTTGGTTCCCACGTAGTCTACTATGGTTTGAGTCTTGGACCCTGTGGCTTAAGACTCACAGTGGGCGCATGTATGCCCAAGATCCTGAGAGGAGAATGCAGGAGAAGGAATTGTGACGTGGCCATCTTCCCTGAGGGGATGATTTCTCACTTTCTGTCTCTTTGTCTCCAGCGAGCATATGCATCTATAGCACAAATCTCTCAAAACAAAACAAAAAAATCTTATCTCTTTCAAGTTACTTTATAAGACAGAAAATACTGAGTGTTGTTCAACAAGTTGATTTTGCGACTTTCAGTTTGAAAAACACCAACCTAGAGTGCTTGCTAAAAATGGCGGTCTCTAGGCCCCATCCCAGATATTCTGATTCAGTGTGTCTCTGGTGGGGCCCAGGCATCTAGATTTTAGCTAGTACCGTAGGTAAATCTGAGGCAGATA